ACCGCATAATATAGGGGCCTGAATGATTACCTGTACTATTTTTTTTGGGGGGGGTCCTTACTATAATTGTAGTCTTTAGAGGTTTAAGGCCCATCGAACTTGTTGCAACCAGGCCTTCCAAATAGTGGGAGATCTGCGGATATCAAGCCCTGAGCCAGTGGCCCATGAAACACTGTCGGATCTGGTGGTTTCAAGGTGCAACAAGAAAGTTTCGGTGTGTCCTTCGTTCGGTTTGGAACTGAAAGAGGGGCGTTCTGAGGAGCTCGGCGCCACCGTGCTTTCCGTGGCGAAGAACAGTCTGCAGGAGCAACATCTCTTGACACTTCGAGAGTGCAAAGCTGACCGTTAATGTTTGCATAAGTCTGCAAGGTCGTTACAGGTCCCGTAGGAACTCATAGGTTCTTATCGCTGGTCTTTTCGCCTTGATCTGACATGTTTGTATCAGATTTGGTTCACTTTGTTGAATGTTCCTCCGGACCCTCAGGATCGTTTCTTGGGCTTTGCGTGTTCAAGGGCTCCAGGTCCGGATTCCCCAAGAGATGGTAGCTGTAGTCTGAGATCTAAACCCTAGAAACCCAGTTTCGACTTTGTAGGCCACCGCCCCCCGTATAGCCATGCTAAAGTAGCTCATTGCAGTTGTGTGCAGTTGGGGAGAGGTTTCTACTTGTACAGTCTGGGACAAGCCCCTTGAAAATTCAGCTTCCGGCTCAGGAATGACTTTTGCTCCTTGTAAGAGCGGTCGCAACGTTCAGACATCCTGTCGCAACTGACAAAAGATTGGAGACTATCTCTCCGGCGCCACGCGCTCGGAAAGCAGGACCCCAAGAGCTTGCGCTTGCTGGCCCAGAAGACAGAAGCGTCCCACTTGCAGGTGGGCCCCGTTCGCGATGTAGGCATCACATGCCCATGGTTTGTTTGTCATCCCCAGAGGGCCAGTGACAATTGCAATCCAATTCTGAGCTTTACGGATGGCCTATGTCCCTATGTTTAACTCGAACCCTAGACTAAACCTGCCTGAACCCTCACTCTTGAACAAACATGTCAGGTCACATCCCACCACAAGCTCTTCACTTGCTAGACCATAAAATCCTCATCATGGAGGCTGTTTCAGAGGGGGCTTCCGGAATGCCAGAAGTAAGGAACTTGCAGGATGTCATTCTAAGTCCTGCATTGCAGCGATCATAAGTTGCAAGGGTTTCTGAGTGTGGTGAAGACAGCACAGAGACAGGAGGGCTGATTGTGTTTGAGTTGCAACATGCTTGTGATGAGACCGCAGCGCTTGAAGCGGCAGTGCCGCAAAGGCCGGACCCACCCCCCCCAGGCCCTGCGCCCTGAACGGCAGGGTGGTGGCCCAATGTGCGTTATTTTAAGTACAAAAGACCCTAACCCCCCAGGTGGGTTAGGGACAACCCAGAATCTCTTTGAAGGAATCCTTGTTGATCTTTATGAAACCTTACTACCGAAGCAAAACCCTAAAGTCTTGAAAAGCCGGAAATGCTCGGTGCCTGGACAATGAGACTTAGGGATTCGGAGCAAACTACTTGTAGCTACAAGTAGTTTGCTCCAAATCCCTAGTCTGATTTATTGAGCAGCTTACAGCACGAGTACCTAAACCCATAAACCCTAAACCCTAAAGAGTATTGCGCATAGCTCTGGCCCTTGTATCCGCCCTTGCGCTACTGGAACTCGTCAAGTCTGTGCCTGTTTGCTTCCTCTCCCTAAACCCTAATCCCCAGGTACCTACTATATAGGGTACTAGAGCCCCTAAGGCCCTATATAGTAGGTACCTGGAGGGTTAGGGTAAACCCTAAACCCCAAATTCCTCTGACAGGTGTCCAGCTGCACACGCATAGCTTTTACCAAGGCCGGTTGCAGAACATCCTGGGCTGACGGTTTAGGGTTCTGAAAGGAACGATGTGAGCTGGATTGCCTGGGGTGTGCGCGCGTCGGCCCGGTTAAAGAACCCTTTATAGTAAGCCTATTATTTATGATGGAACCCTTTGCAGGAACCCCAAAACGCACCCATTTGAGGGAGCCCTGTTGAGTTTCAGGGATGGTCTATACTGCCCTTATATGGAGGCTTGAACATAAAGCAATGATAGACCATTGCAGTCCTTCTTACATGATTTTGCGATAAGACACCCCAACGCCCACCCCACCTTTGCTGGCCTATCCCTGAAACGGCTCAACCACAAACACCTCCCTTCAGAAAGAGCCCAGAGAGCCCGATACCCCTGAATCGCGACACATACCCTTATAGATCGGACCAGTGATCCCTACATGACCTCAGTGGTATTCCGAAATTGCAGGCTATTCGGCTCTGTGGGGTGAGAACAAGCTTGCTAATAAAGAAAGAAGCCTCGGCCCCGGTGCACCGACTTATCGCAGAGCTGAAAGGCTGCCGAGAGTTTGGACAGCGATGAGGACGATTTCTAGTTTTCTGGAGGCCCCCAGCTGGGTTTGGGGTTTAGGGTTTAGTGAGTATCAGGTTATAGTGTGTTGGGTCACAGCAGTTGGGCAGTGGGAGTTTAGGGAGTTGGGTTGAGGGGTTCAGAAGAATGAGGAGCGACTCTACGAACAGGGCTTTAAGGTTTCGGGTGTTTTGATTCCTGATTTGGGCACTTTTCGAGGGCCGATGGCATTTGCTAAGGCTTTCGGATTCGTCGATTGCGGCTCATGTGCTGTTGCCGATCCGCATTGGTTTGAGACTGGCTCAAGTGTAGGCTGTTGAACAAGTTGCCTTTGCACTTGGGGCCCCGTAAGAAATCCTTTGCAGGAGAAGCCAGCTCTGTATGTTGCGTATGCATGTGAGGCTTCGATTACGTGGCTGTCCTTCGGAAAGGTTAGCATCCCATGTCTAATGTTTTCAACTGCAAAGACATGTATGTGTTAGAAGGCTCGAACGTGCTGACCCAGGGTGCCAATTGAGTTCTCCATAGATTAAGGGCTGTGAGGTATGTTGCGCGGGGGGGACATGGTGTTTTGTGAAGCTGTCATGGCTTCTTCACTCCGGCCAATTCGGCACCTGATGGCTTTGAGCACGTTGACCTACCCATCCTGAACCTATACTACAACTGCCATGGGATGCCTCCAGTACTAGTACCTAGCGCAGTTAAAGCAGCTATAACTATGACTATGTTAAGCAACCCTAAACCCCAAACCCATATACCTCTAAACCGTCTCAACCCCTAGACATCGTCCGAGTCGCGAGAGTCGAAGCCCCCAGACCCCACCAGAAACAAACCCGAAGCCCCTAAACCCTGAGTCATATGAAGCCCCCGGACCTTATGGACGTGCTTGTCTCGTTATGGCCGAAACCGAAACCAGCAGGGACAAGGAGGATTTCCGTTTGGAGCTTTGAGTTTCAAAACCCTAAACCCTAAACTTTACGGAACCTGCCCCCTGTGGGCTCTCTGACTCGAACGTGCAGTCGAAAAAAGGTGTCAAAAAACAACCCTACGGAAGTTGAGGGTGCAGCGTTTTCAGGCGGTCGCGGTGTATTGTGTTTTGAACCGCAGAGCTTCACGCTTTGCTTCAGGCTCCACGAGTGTTAGGTAGTATTATTAGGGATCTTTTTGAGAGGCTCTAAACCCCCAAGGGTCCCCTAATCCTAGCTCCCAAATGTAGATTTTGTGGAAAGGCTGACGAGTTCTGCCCATGGCGGCTTGCAGGTGCTGGCTGAGAAGTCCTTTCTATCCCCTTCCAGCCGGGTGAGTGAAGGTGCCTGCGGAGAGCGCCGGTTGAAAACTGACCAGGACAACCGAGACCCCAAACTGGCCGATCTTGCTAAACCCGAAACCTGAAGCCCAATGCATTGATCCTGGGCCCTCTAGACCCTTCTTTATTCGTAACGAAACATATCGGTGTTATTGCGCTACGTTGAACTTACCGCTTCGTTTTCAGGCGTTCCAGCATTTCAGGGTGAGAATATCACCTTAATCCAGATGGCCGAGGGTAACGCAAATCAACTTTCGGATTGAGGGAGAAAGGTTGCGTCAACTTTTGAACAGTTTTTCGGTTTCAGCGGAGCCACCTAAAGGCCTGAACTCCTCATCCCTTAACAACGAAACCCAAAGCCGCTAAGGGACAAAGTAGTTCAGCGCCGTAAACTCCGAAAATCATTATATAATTTGATATAGGCAGCTCTTTGGCTTTGAGTTCGTAACTCAACGTGAAACCTGCACTTTAACTAACTATCCAAGCAGCTTTTGGCACAGGGTGTTGAGCGAAAACAGACCCTTAAGGGGCGTTTCGACCGGCCTCTGCTATTCCGTGGGCACCTGAAGGTCCGGCATTCTTTGGTAGGAAGGAAAGCCAGCAACCTTCTCCTTAGATAGCCTATGGGAGAACTTTAAACTTTTGGCTTTAGATATTAGGTCTATCCTAAAAAGTTTGAACTTTTTTGGGCCTGGTTGTTGAAGAGGAGAGTCTCTGTCTCACCTACCATTTTTCCATGTAGCATGCCTGCATGTGGTGCCCAACACGCCGACAGTCCATGCCGGAGACCAGATTGTCCTTGAGAAAGAGACCTGCATGTTGAGCCCGCAACCGGTACTGAGGGTGTTTTCAGGGATTGCCGATCATGTACAGGCTCTTCAAACTTTGCCACAGGCTGATTTGGCATGTATAGGGTTTGTAAAATGCTCATTATAAGAAATTATAAGTCTAAACCCCTACACGAAGCCCCGCTGTGTCACTTCCAGGAGTCCTTAGAGTTTGTTTCCTGCAGTTCTCTAGAATCCTATAAGACCATCCTCGGGTCATGAAGACCTCATCCAACTCGGCGGAAGTCTACAAACCCCTGACTTAGAGGGTTTTGCGGTCTTTTTGAACCCTAGTAGCCGAGTGAGTACACCTTGCACTTTTGGGGATAATAGAATCCCCGATAGAAAAGAAACTGAAAGTGTACATTTTTGGGGGGCTTATGGACTCAGCCCCCCAAAAACTGAAAGTGTGCACTTGTTTGGGCTTATGAACTCATCAACTAAGCAAGCAGCAAGGATCGACACTATGTCCTTCCCCGCTCCCTGCTGAGAGCTGGCCTGGGCGGTTGGGATTCTCGGCCGCTTTCAAGATAGGGTTTCAGGGTTTAGGGCTAATGATGTAGGGTTTGCAGGGCTTAAGAGGTGGGTTGTCGGGTTTAGGATTTCGGAAACCAGACTCAAAAAAAGAAGGATTTCGGGAAGAAGGGCTCACATGTGTGGGGTTGGAGGCTGCTTTTGAGCCACCCGACACTCTCAGAAGCTAGGAGGAGCACGTTATTAAATTGAGGATCCTGCAGTGCTCTTGGAGCTTCTAAAAAAAACGGTCCCTCAATTCCCGAGCATGCCACTTGTAACACCCTACAGTAGACCCTAGTTGCGAAGCGTAAATCCCTGGAGGCAAAAAAGCACCCATCCTAATCACCTCAACCCCAAACCCTAAAAGCCCTAAGAGCCCTAAAAGCCCGAAGCCCCTAATCTCCACGTGAGTCTACGGTTCTATTGTGCCTGAGGGAGCTTGGGATTTCAGGGCTTGGCCCGAGTTTCTGCAGAGTTGCGAGGGGCTTTTCTGTGCTTGAAAGGGTTAAAATGAAGAGACGGAGAATTGGTAGTTCTATTCAGCATATTCGGTATGGTAGGAGTGAGCGTTCAGTGGTAGATGAAGCGTGGACTCGCCAAGTGGAGAACCTCTGCACTCAAAGACTCAAAAGCATGCACCCCCACCTTGAGCCCGATGACCCTAAAATCTACAATCCATATTAAGGTTCGGGTGGAACCCTTGTACATCCCTTCAAAGAACCCTTAACAGGAACCTGCAGAAATTCGTAACTTGACTTTAGAACCCTTCTAGATCCCTTTAAAGGAGCACTTATACATCCCTTTAACGGATCCCCTTACTGGAACCTGCAGAAATTCGCAACTTGACTTCTCACCGAAGAGCCCTGAAGTCTGAAGGAGATGCTGGTCGACGGGCGAGCCTGGCGCCACATGCCAGGAAACAGCACGGCAACCCTAAGCCCTAAACCCTATAAACCCGAACCCTAAACCTATAAACCTGAACCCACACCCTGAACCCTAAGCCCTAAGCCCTAAACCCTATAAACCCGAACCCTACACCCTACACCCTGAACCCTACACCCTGAACCCTGAATCCTAAACCCTGAACCCTAAACTGCGAGAGGGAAAAAAACCCTAAACCCGAACCCTAAACCCTGAATCCTGGTTAGTTTACTTGCTTCACATGGTCAACTTCGAGGCCTCGTCATTCGGGTTCCCCTTGTAATCTTTACGAAGGGAGAGGTGTTTAGGGTTTAGGATTTATAGGGTTCGGGGTGTAGGGTTTGGGGCTTAGGGTTGAGATGTCCGTAAACCTTGAGTAGTAAAGAAGCCCCAATAATCACCAATATTATTCGTTAAAGTTCCGCATTATATTTTCATATATAATTATATTATATAATATATAGTCCAAAGAAACCCCCAAACCCTATTCTACTTGTTAAGGCTCTTATACTACAAAAATGCCCAAGCCCCACGCTCCGAAGCCCAAGAGCCGGCGTCATTTAATCCCTGAGCCCTACACGAAGCCTCGAAGGTTTTTAGGATTTCGGGCTTAGGGGTTAAAGGGTTCAGGGTTTAGGGCTTTACCTTAAAAGTAGTTTCTTACTATGAATTCGAATACGGAATTTATAGGAACCTTACAAAAAGCAGGTTTCGGTTGCTCAAGGTGGGGTTTAGGGCTTAAAGGGTTTAGAGTTTTAGGGCTAATAGGGTTAATAGGGTTTAAGGTGTGAAGACTCAAGACTCTGAACTAAGAGGCTTCGAGTTCTGCAGCCTATTTTGGAACCATTGCGTAGAAGAGCGCCCTATCCGGTTGTTGTGGATCAACGTGCATTTTCGGGGGCGCGGGGCCCCCATCGACTGCTTTGCAGGTCTCATGGCGACGGGGGCTGATGTCATGCAACTTGGCCACGCACTATAGAAGCCTAAACAATTACCACTAGTATTTTGGGGATTCGTTACTATAACTATGGTATAATTTTCCCCGAAACCCTATTCTAATTATTAGGGCCCCTACATTACGGTGTCAAGAAACAACCGAAAACAGCACTGCCGATTTTGCGAACAGGATTCCCAACACGGAGGCCTTCAATGCTACAGTCAGTAGTCCTAGTCAGATTATGGACCAGATGTTTGCTTGAATTTGTGCTTGCAAAATCTTTATTTACGGATATTAACAGAACCCCAAATAGAACCCTAACCGTCCGGACGATTCTCCAGGTTGCCTGGAAGCAATGTGTCGATGAACACTGAGACTTATCTGGCACTCCGCTTGGAGTATGCTGGGGCGCCCCCTGGCTTAAACCAGAACCTGCAACACTACTCAATCACAAGAACCAGTGGAACATGCGTCGGTCATCATCGTGCTGTTTGGGGTTTAGGGTTTAGGGTGCTCGTAAGCTCGAGCGAGTCTGCTTTCCGCGGGTTGCTGCATTAGATTCCTTTAAATCTTGTGGTTGGCTTGCAAGCGGCTCAATCTCTACTGGGATCTCCGCAACATGGGAATGCTACTTGGAGGATTTTCTGTTCAATGTACACATGCATGTGGTGAGGAAGCTGATCTTCACGCTCGAGATTGGGGCCCTCTTTGTCAGGAAAGCTCCACATACGTGCGCGTTGCCGGGTATCATCTCAAGAGGTGTGAGTTGCCTCCTCTCACTGGAATTGTTGTTCCCAGGTCCTCTGATGTACTATAGGGGCCTTAATAATTAGAATAGGGTTTTGGGGTATGGTATACTATAAATATAAATAAAGAACCCCCAAAACCCATTCTAATGATTAAGGCCCCTATACTGCCCTAGCCAGGTAGACCCTGAATAAAATCACCGCAAACCCTGACGTCTGACGGCTTCAAGGCAAATCGCGCGCTATCCGGCCACTGCCTATCTCGCCTGCGACAGCTCCGAGTGGAAGGAGTTCCACACTGTATAATATAGGTGCCTGAATAATTGCCAATACTATTTTGGGGGTTCCTCATCATAATAACATTAGCGCCCTTTAGGGCTGCCGGGTTGTATGAGCTGTATATAGGCTTTCAATTTTGCGAAAGAGAAGCTCTAGGTAGACCTTCAGGATATTTCGTCCATTTACCTACCTCTATCTATCTTTAAGTCGATATCTCTGTCTATCTGCCTGTCTACCATTCTTTCGGTCTCTCCATCTACCCATCCGTACATCCATCAGTCTATCTGCCGATCCAGGAATCTTTCTATCGATCTAACTATCTAGCTAGCTAGCTCACTAGATACCTAACTCATTCAGCAACTTGTTTATTCTCACGACCGACATATGTACGCATTATCATGTGTGTGTGTGTATATACATATACACACAACCAACTAAATAGCAACCAATCTAGCTAGCCAGCTAGGTAAAGCCAGCTGGCCGAGCATCTAGCCATATGTTTGTATAAAGTGGTTGTCGTACCAGTCAGATGCCACTTGGGTCCACACTGAAGTCGGTTGCATGGCAAGCTTCTCGTCTGCTCGCCAGGATGGCAAGACAGGCATGAGCCAAGGAGGTTCACGCACGGTACACGGCGTGCCTGAGCTTGTGGGTGTATCGGTGTACTGGCCTCTGGCCATGCATAGTTCGGATACGAACAGGTTTCTTCTCTGGAGCTGTGACAGCTCGAGATTGGGTCGAAGAAGTGGAAACACGGGGCAGGGTCTTCGCACCGGCTGTGAGCTAGGATTTCCGGATTCGGTTTCAGTAGCACCTCCTTTTCACCGGGGTCCGCGGTTACAGCAAAAGTATATCTAGAAGCTTTCGTAACCGAAATCTTGACTCTTCCAAGGATCCATACGCTCAAGTTCTCTCCAGCTGGAGATTCCCAGCTTTTGTGAACAGCAACTTCCCGAATTCAGGTTTAAATGCTCCAAGCGCTTGACACTTGAAAGTTTCGGGGTTTCGGATTATTTACAGCTTGTTTAGGGTTTAGGGTTTAGGCTATACCTCAACATAGAAGAGTAAAGGAATTAGCAGGCTGATTCCGTGGAAGTCCTCACAATCATCATGCTATAATCGACCCTAAGCCGGCCCTAAGCCCCTGTCTCATTATTACGGCTCCAGTCTTGTAATATGGGAGCTTAAATAACTACCAATACTATTTTGGGAGTCCTCATTATAACTAGACTATAAAAAGGCCCGAAAACCCTATTCTAATTATTCAGGCCCTTATATTTTATATACCCTTGTAGAACCCTTATATTAACCCTTACAATAACCCTTTAAAGGAACCCTATTCTAATTATTAGGCCCCCACAGTTTTTGTTCGTTTTCGCCAGAGCCTTCAGCAAGTGGGAGCTCAGGCTGTGTCCGTCAACTTCTCGTGCCAGCCAGGCTCGGGAGTTTCAGGGGCACTTTGGGAGTAATGTATACTTGCCACCTCTTGGCCGGTTTTTACATCTTTTGCTTTTTTGGGGTTTGTGTCCAGGCTGTAGAGGCCCAAGCAGTAGCTGCATATGCCCGAGTCACAACCAAACCATGAATATGCCCGAGTCACAACCAAACCATGTATCAGCTTTCAACTCCTCCCCCTTAAATTACACAGCCCAACATTTTCCCAGCCCGAGCATCCGTGTCCACTTTTCCTTTCCATCTGGC